CAACCAAATAGCCATTTGGGAAAAAATTAAGTTAATCTATAATTCACACTTTATACCAAGATAAATTCCAAATGCATCAAAGATTTAAATATAAAAATGAAATTATGAAAGTACTGAAGTCCTGGTGGAAATATTACTGTATATCCTTGGAGAAAGGAAGTCCTTCTAACTATGGCCCAAGATCCAGAAGCCATAAAAGAATGGTAAACTAAACTACTTGAATGTAAAAGAATAAATCTGCATTGCAAAAAGCACCCTTTGAAAGGTATGTTTGGAACTCATATTCCAAACAAAGGGATAATTTCCCTAATATATAAAGGATTTCTTAATAAGAAAAAAATCAAAGACCCTATAGAAAAAATTGGCAAACGATATGAATAAACAATTCACACAAAAGGAAATGCAAATAGATTTTAAGCATATAAAGCTATTTTCAACCTCATTTTTAATTAAAATACTAATTGAAACTACTCTAAGAAAGTTTCCTGTCCATCAGCTAGTCAAAAAAAAAAAAAAAAAACCCCAAAAAAAACCCCCCAAAAAAGTATGATAACACTCACTTTTCAAGGGAACAAGGAAACAGGCACACTCACTTTGATGGTGAGAATGTAAATTGTTGTTATAAAATCTTAAAGGAAAGCAATTTTGTCAGTATCTATCAACATTTCAGAAACACAGACCTTTTTCTTCCTGAGCTGAAAATTTTAACTAAGGTATATTATATCCAATAAAATACATAGATCTTAGCTGTAAGGTTCATTTAATTTTTGCATACATGTACACTTACATGCCCACTACCATGATCAAGATATTGAATATTTCTGTCACTCTAAAAAATGTTTCCTCATATCCACCAACCCCCCTTCCAACTTCCATTACCATAGACAAATTTTGCCTGTTCTTAAACTTCAAATAAGTGGACTCATACAGTATATGCTATTTTGTGTCTGGCTTCTTTTGCTCAACGTGTTTTAAAGATTTATCATGCTGTTGCGTGCATCAATAGTTATTCTTTTTTATTGCTGTGTACTATTCCATTTTATGAATTTTCCAAAATTTCTGTTTTCTGCTTATGGATGTTTGAATTATTTCTAGTTTGGGGCTACTATGAATAAAGCTTCTACCAGCATTCTTATATAAGTTTTTTTTGTTGTTGTTTGTTTGTTTTTTTTTGAGACAGTCTCACTCTGTCACCTGGGCTAGAGTGCTGTGGCGTCAGCCTAACTCACAGCAACCTCAAACTCCTGGGCTCAAGCGATCCTCCTGCCTCAGCCTCCCAAGTAGCTGGGACTACAGGCATGCACCACCATGCCCGGCTAATTTTTTCTATTTTTAGTAGAGATGGGGTCTTGCTCTTGCTCAGGTTGGTCTTGAACTCCTGAGGTCAAGTGATCCTCCTGCCTCAGCCTTCCTGAGTGCTAGGATTACAAGTTTGAGCCACTGTCCCTGGCTTATATATGTCTTTTTTTGTTGATATATGAACCCAATTTTCTCAGGTATAAACCTACGAGTGGGATTGCTTGATCGTAGGGTAGACATTTGCTTAGCGTTAATAGACACTGCCAAACAGTTTTCCAAAGAGACTGTAACATTGTATTCTCCCACCTGCATAATATGAGGGTTCCAGTTGCTCCTCACCCTCATCAACACTTGATATCGTCAGTCTTTTAAATTTTGGCCTTGCTGGTGGGTGTATAGTAGTAACTCATGGTTTTAATTTTCATTTTCCTAATGAATAATGATGAGCAAAGCATATAAACAATTCATGCAAAAAAGAAAAGCAAATATATCTTAAATATGTAAAGAGATTTTAACTTCAGTCTTAATAAATTGACTAATTGACACTACTCTGAGAAATTAATGCCTTCTCACAGGCATATGGCTATTTGGACATCTACTGTCATGCAGTGCCCATTCAGTTCTTGCTCTTTTTTTTTTTTCTTGCCCATTTTTAAATTCAGTCATATATTAGATACTAATCCATTGTCAGATATATGCAATGTAAATATTGCTCCCCTGTCTGTAACTTGCCTTTTCACTTTTTAAATGAATCTTCTCATGAACAAAAGTTTTAAATTTTGATTAATGTCAATTTATCAATTGTTTTCACAGTTGCTGCTTTCTGTGTCCTGTTAAAAACCTCTGCCTACTACCATGTTAAGAAGAAATTCTTCTGTGTGTATGTGTGTGTTTTTCCTGGAAGAAAAGCACATACTTCTTGAACTGTCAATTCATTTTCTAGGGACTTATTCTACAGACATACCTGCTTATGTGTGCAACAAAACACGTCCACAGTTATTCTCGGCAGCACTGTCTGAGAGAGTGAAGGTTTGGAAACAATCAAACGCCCATCAGTAGGAGAAACATGGCTTGAGAAATGATGGTACATCCAAACAATGGGCTACTGTGTAGCTGTAAAAATGAACAAGGGAACTCTTTCTATATTTGATGTGGAAAGTGCTCCAAGATACACAATCACATGAAAAGAAGCAAGATGAAGAGAGAACAATGTAGGCGGTGGGGCTATCTTTGTGTGAAAAGGGATGTACAGTTGACCCTTGAACAACACAGCTCTCAACTATATGGGTCCACTTATATGTGGATGTTTTTAAATCAGTATACTGGAAAATATTTTGGAGCTTAGTGACAATTTGAAAAAACTCACAGATGACCTGTATAGTCTAAAAATATCAAAAAAATTAAGAAAGAGGTATGTCATGAATGCATAAAATATATGTAGATACTAGGGTATTTTATCATTTACTACTATAAAACATATACAAATCTATTATAAAAGCTAAAATTTATCAAAACTTATGCACACACAAACTATACATAGGGACATTTGCAGTTTAGAAAAATGTAAACAAATGTAATGATGCAGTATTAAATCATAACTGCATAAAATTAACTGCAGAACTACTGTCCCACTGTGATAATTTCATAGCCACCTCCTGTTGCTACTGCAGTGAGCTCAAGTGTTGCAAGTATCTGCTTAAAATGCTGCATGACACAAATCATCTCTGTATGAGTAGTTTCTCCCCAGTACGATTGTATCACAGTAAAAAGTGATCTCTCACAGTTCTCACATATTTTTCACTGTGCTCAGAGCAATACTTGAATAACACCATGAGACCCTCATGAAGTGCCAACAGTGATGCTGGCACTGCTCCCAAGAAGCAGAGAAAATTCATGACATTACAAGAAAAAGCTGAAGTGTTTGCTGTGACCATAGATCGAGGTCTGCAGCTGTGGTTGCCCGCCATTTGCAGATAAATGAATCCAGTCTGAGGACCATTGTAAAAAAAAAAGGAAAAAGAAATTCATGAAGCCATCACCGCAGCTATGCCCACAGGCTCAAATACCTTGCATTTTTTATGAAATACCTTTTTATCTCATATTGAAAATGCAGTTTTTATGTAGGTACAGAATTGCTATAAAAAAAAAGGCATACCTATTGACTCTAATATGATCCAAGAAAAAGGAAAGTCATTATACTTAAAGCAAAAGGAAGGTGAAAGATCTAAAGCTGGAGAATGTAATATCAGCAAAGGATGGTTTGATAATTTTAGAAGAGGTTTGGCTTAAGAAATATCAAGATAACAAGAGAAGCAGTTCCTGCCAACCAGGAGGCAGCAGACGAGTTCCCAGGCAATATTAAAAAATCAAAAAGAAAGGCTGAACGGACAAAAGTGCCCTAATGCAGACAAAAGTGCCCTATTCTGGGAGAAAAAAAAATGCCACAAAGGCCATTCATTAGTAAGGAAGAGAAGCAAGCACCAGGATTTAAGGCAGGAAGGGACATGCTAACTTCACTGTTCTGTGCAAATGTAGTCTGGTTTACGATTAGGACTGCCCTTGTCTATAAAGCTGCTAACCCCCAACCCGGTGTCAACAGTGAAAATGCTTTTGCTGGATTGGTACCATCAATGCTCTGTCCCTGAAGTCAAGAAGTACCTTGCCAGTAAGGGGCTGCCTTTTAATGTTCTCTTGACATTGAGCAATGCTCCTGCCACCTAGAACCCTGTAAGGTCAACCTGAGGGTGCAGAAGTAGTCTACCTGCCCCCAAACACAATGTCTCTAACACAGCCTCTAGACCAGGGGCCATAAGGGCCTTTCACTGTCATTACACACAGTGCTCTAGGCAACGAATTGCCGGTGCTATGGAAGAGAACGCCCGTAGAGAGGACATCTTGAAAGTCTGGAAGGATTACATCATGGAAGATGCCATTGTGGTTACAGAAAAGCCATCGAGCTCAAAACAATACATTTCTTCTGGAGAAGACTGTGTCCAGATGTGATGACTTCACAGGTTCATGACAGAGCCAGTCAAGGAAATCACGGCAGATACTGGGGGGATGCAAAACAGGTGTGGGCGTGTGGGAGGGTTTCCAGACACGGGGCTTGGAGAAATCCAAGAGGTCACAGACGCCGCACAGGAGGATGAGCAGAAGAGCACCTGGCGGCGATGAGTGCTTTCGACCAGGGCCGGACGGTGAGGAAGAAGACGCAGAGCAGCAGTGTCAGAAAACAGACTGGCACGAGACAATGTGGCAGACGCGTTCCGGTTGCTCAATACCGCTTTTGACTTCTTCATGACAAGATACCGCGGGCACCGACGCCAAAGCAGGATTAGGACTGTACAGAAGCATGTTCAGAGAGATGACAGAGCCAGACAAAAATTGCTGTGAATTTCCCTAAAGTCACACCGAGTGTGCCTTCCTCTCCTGCCTCCCCTCCCACTTCCTCCACTTCTGCCACCCCCGAGACAGCAGGACCCTCCTCCTCCTCTTCCTCCTCCTGGACATGAAGACGAGGCTGAAGGCACATGATGACACACTTCCACTTCCCGAATAGGAAATACGCTTTCTCTTCCTTATGATGCTCTTAATAACATTCTCTTTTCCCTAGCTCGCTTTATTGTAAGAATATAGTATGCAATACATAGAACACACAAAATACATGTCGATTGACTGTTTTGTTATTGATAAGACTTCCCGGTAAGCTATTAGGAGTTACATTTGGGGCACTTGAGCATTATTTGTGGATTTTCGACTGTGCCGGGGGTCGGCGCCCCTCACCCCTGCATTGTACACATGTCTACGAAGACTTTTAGGGAAGACTCTGGAGCAACTGCTAACGCCAGCTGCCTCCTCGGGGCGGAGCTGAGGAACTAGAAGTGAGGTGTGGGAGGGAGGCTTTCACCGTAGGTCCTTTGCTTTTGAAGTTCGAACTGTTAACCTGTGTGGAAGTTTTGCCTATCTGAAAAGAAGTGCTTATAAATAGGTAAGTATTCGAAGTGGGTAGAATTTTTATGGATGTGGACATTGGCGGGTAAGGGTGACCCAGAGGGAGGGAAGAGCTAGAGCAAAGGTGTGCAGGAGAGAAAGCTGGCAGCAGAGTCCCGCGTGCCTGGTGGCAGTGAGAGCACCTCGCACACCCTGGCTCAGGTCTCATCAGGCCTCAGTGCTGCACTCCCACCGGCAGGGCACCTCACTCTCAAGGTCCAGGTACGAGCGCTCTCTGGACCGGCCTGTGCACCCAGCCCACAGGGAGGTCCTTTCTGCTGCCAGCCAGTGCTGGGGTACTTTACTCCCTGTCATTTAAACCTTGCTCCAATCCCGAGCAGGAGATCTTAGGGATGACCTCTACTGGACAGGGAAGGGGAATGAAGCTCAGAGAGGTTAAGTAACTTACTCAAGGTCACAGAGCCATTAAGTAGCCTAGCTGGACCTACAGCTGTGTATTCTTTCCAGAATTCTACAAGATCAGGGTGGGGAGAGGGAGGCTGGAAAGAGTTAAGCACCCAAGAGTAAGCGACCAGGCTCTTCCCTGGCCTTTTCCTGGCCAGCCCCTCCCCCTTCCATCCAGGTTGTTGTCTGGCCTAGGCCCCATCCACGACCCCCACCGGCCCCGGCCGAGGGCAGGAAGGGGGCACAGATGGCAGGCGAGCACAGGCCCGCAGCCAGGCTCACCCAGCTGTCACTTTGGAGAGCACCATGCATCTCATCGTCCTCCTCCCCCCTTGAACACTTGGGAGCTGGCCAGCTGGCCCCAGCTGTTCCTTCTCCCTGGTCCAGGGCTCCCACAGACCCAAGCCTCTGGGGTCTTTGTCTCCAGGGAGGAGAAACACAGAGTCCCAGAATGTCAGAGCTGGCAGGGCCTCGGAGGACAACAGGCCCAACAGCTCATTTTCCAGATGGGGAAACTGAGGCCCAGAAAGGCAAAGGGACTTGCCTAAGGTTACAAACAACGGGGCACCGAAGTCAGGTGAAGCTTAGCATTGAAATGAAGCTTAGGTTTCTGGGGGCACCCCGCAGGGGTGGGGGTGCTCAGGCTGGCTGCTGTGCCCCCTCCCCACCAACCTTCAGCCAGAGCAGCTCTGCTCGCCTGATTTTATACAATGACATTGTCCTCTGACTTTCTTTCCAGGGTCTTTAACCTGAGTGGGTCCACAGGCCCCTTCAGGAGGTGCGTGAGTTTGGGTAGGAAAAAAAATTGAGTCTATATTTTCACTAGCCTCTAACTGAAATTTCACATTTTCTTTGTAAACGTAGGCAACGAACCCCAACAGGCTTAGCTGAACCTACGATGTTTTCACCAATAGACATCACAGATATTTGCAGATCACATCTGCTACTGCTGTCTCAAAACGTTATCTGGGCTCATCGTTCTGTGGAATCAGAGTAGTTATGGGCCTGATACTTGATCATACTGCTTAATGTATTAATATAAAAGCACTACACTGCTATGTCACAATTCTACTACACATTTGGATAATTGTATTTCAGTATAGTTGTGTCCTTTTGTAAGCCTATATATTTTATTTTATGTATTTAAAATTTTTATTCTCCCATCCAAGTACTAACCAAGCCCAACCCTGCTTAGCTTCCGAGATCAGACAAGATTGGGCGCGTTCAGGGTGGTGTGACCATAGACCAAAAATTTTATTCTGTGAGGGGGACCGTGGGGCTTTTCTAGACTGCCAAAGAGGTCTGACTGCCTGGCTCCCCAAAAAGTTAAGAACATGCTGCATTTGAACAAAAGTTTCCAGTGTTAAAAACTCAAGCTTGAAAACGTTTGTACTGTGTCCGTGACATCACAGACTTGGGGCAGAATTGCCATGAGATGAACGCACGAGTCCGGGTGGGGCTGGTGCTCTAGGAGGGGAGGGGTGCACCAGGACCCGGGAGGTCAGGCTCACCCCAGCAGACGTGCAGTAGGAGGCTGGCTCTGTGCCAGGCGCATGGCCCCTCACCGAACCCTCGGAACAGCCATGGAGTCAGGACTAGCGTTCCTCCTATTTTGCAGGTGAGAAAACTGAGGCGCAGACCAGTTAGGTAACTTGCCCACAGCACATGGACAGTAAATCCTGGAGCGGGGATTTGAACCCAGGCCAGCTGATGCAGACCCTGCACAACTAATCACCGGACACACTGCCTCCCTGTCTGGGTAGATGGAAGCTGCTCACAGAAAGTCCCTCAGGTGTCGCTGCTGCCCGGTGCTTCTCTTGGTGGGGGTAGCGGGTGGGGGAATGGAATCCCGGAGGGTTTGCTGCCTGGATCAGTCATCTGACACATGAGACACTAACAAGCTGTGCAACCTTGACCAAGTCTCTTGCCCTCTCTGGGCCTCATCTATAAACTGCAGTGTTCTAAGCACCCAGCCCCACACCTTCCACCCTGCCCATGTTCACCTGACGACCCACTTGGAAACTCAGGCGCAGGTTGCTTAGCAACTAAAATCAAGGTCTTGGGTGAGTGGAATGGAAAGGGGAAGGACAGACGAGAAGTGCGGTGCCTGACGCTGATGCCACAGAGCCGTGTCTTGTGGTAAGAGGCTGCGAATGCTGTGACCGGCTCTTCTCCCCCACCCAACCCGCCCCAGCGAGAGCCTTGGGATGGGGGTGGGGCAGGCAGTTGGGAGAGGCCGTCCAGAAATGGAAACTGCCCTCAGGACTACATCCAGCCTGGAGTTTCTCAGGCAAGGCAAACAGGCGGCCATTGTTCTAGAAGCCGGAGGGAGAAGGGCCAGTGGTAGGGGTCTTGGCCAAGGCCTCGGGCCCCACTGGCCCCCAGGGAGATGCCCTGGTTCAGGTCAGGCCACCTTAGTTCCACGACCTGGATCATTTGTTTCCTGGAGTGCTGGGAGCCGGGACACGTCAGGAGAGAGCTTCCAAAGCTGCGGGCTGGGGCCGGCGGCCGCCCCGCCGGGACGGAGGGTCCTGCGGGCTGGGAGCCCACCGTTGGCAACACGTTCCTTCGGGCCTCAAGAGTTTGGTCTCCTTAAATCTCACCCTAGCCTTAACCACATGCAAACTCCCTTGGTAAAGGAAAGCCACTGTCGTCCTCGACAACTTAGTAGATGTGATTTTGGACCCTGAGAAGTGGCTGAGAGCGAGATTCCTGGGAAGGGGCCAGACGGGGTAAGACACTTCTCCGCCTCGGGGCCGGGACGTGTCCTGGGCACAACAGAGTGCTGGGCTGGGGTCACGCGATCGCCGGAGTCCCCTCTGCTCTGGCCTGGGAGTGGGGCACGAGGAAGGCGGGCCGGGGAGGGGCGTGGACTGCGAGGAGGATGGCGTGCAAGCACAGGCGCTCCAACTCAGGCCCCCTCCGTGCTCCGTGCCCCGATCTGAGCCAGCGGGACCCCACAGACCTGTCCCCAACCCCAGCACCCTCTTCCTCCCCCCAGCCTGGAACTTACTGTAGTAACAATGACAGAAGCAACGTAGCTCGGGTTTATTGAGCACTTGCTGTATGCCAGCTGCTGTGGCAAAACCCCTATGTGCATTACCTCATCTAGCCCTGGCAGACAGCCCACTCCGGACACGCGGGCAGGCCGACTGGGGCGGCCCCACCCGGCTCCAGCGCAGACCCAGGCCTCTCTCCCTGCCCCAGGGGGAGCGCGCCCCAGTCTGTGCAGCCTGGCACAGACACACCACTCCGGCCTCCCTGGAGACCCCTCATCACTGCCCTATCCCCTCTCAGGCACAAATGACTAGACTGCGGGTAGGCATGGCGAGCGCTCAGGGCCAGGGATATGCAGGGACTGTACCAGCCAACGGAGACAGCAGCAGGAAGGCCCGAGACAAGCCTCCCCCTAGCCGGCTGCAGGCTCCAAAGCCCACCAAAGCTCACGGGCTGCTGCTGGGACTGGGAAGGCAGGGGAGTGGGCAAAGAACTGGGCATCCACGTGGCTCCCACTTAGTGAGCACGCACTATGTGCTAAGTAAGTGCTTTATGCAGCACCCGAGAAACAAGTACCATTATTATCTCACAAATAGGGAAGCCGAGGCACAGGCAAATTAGATTCCAAGGCTTCCCAGCTAAGGGATGGAGCTTCATTTCCGAAGGAATGGGAGGCTCAGGCCGTAGAAGGAACACAGGGAGCAGATGGAGCAGACTGGCACCCTGCTCTGGAGGCCAGGCTGGTGCCTGGGGCAGAGTTGGGGCCATGGCCAGAGTTCACAGGGTCCTGGGCCCAGGAATTATCGTTTCTGGCCTCACTGTCTGGAGGCCCTGGCCTGAGGCATAAGGATGGATTCCTTCACCTCCCCTTCTACCCACCAGCCAGGCTGTATCTCTGGGCCCCTGGCCCCAAACCCGGAGAACTCCCGTCCCATGACCTTGAAATAAAACAAGAAAGCAATGCTTCAATTTCTGCTGGAGGGTTTGCCTTCGCTTTTCTCAAAATAAGCAGCCATTCTTCCAAAAAAGGGAAAACACAAAGCCAGGCTGTCAATCTCAGGCCTCAGACAAATGGAACGAAGTTGCAACTTCGGTCTCTTTCAGAGCACAACTCTCCTCCCTTTCCCGAGTCACTTACTGTACTTCAGGCTGTCATGGGCTTTGAGATGCAAATTGCACCAAGCGGAAGGCAGCAAGAAGAACAAAGAGCAATTGAGGAAAGATCTGGAAAATGGATTTGGAAAAGGCTCTCTGAATTTCCCCAGAGAGGGGGAGACCTCACCGCTGAGGGGAGCCCTACTGAAGAGTCTGGATTTTTCATGGGGGAGAGAAGGTTTGGGAGCTCAGTGCTGATCCTCGGGGAGTGATGGGGCGATACAGAAATCTGGGATGGGAGCGAAGGCTTTGGGTGAGCAAGGAAGTCTGACGTGATTACAGTCCTCAGCACTGGGCTGGGCACCTTTGCCCCTCTTCTTTTAATACTAGGCTGTGAGCCATGGAGCTCCTTGTTCCACCAACTCCTGGATTCCCGAGGGAGCCCAGCTGGGTCAGGCCGTACTGTCCTAGGGGCTTTAAGGGGAGGATGCAGCCCCCTTCAGTCTGGGCGGCCCCTGGGGGCACCACATTCTCCCTGGGGCCTGGCAGGGAGGGGCAGCCAGGACCAGTGAAGAGGAAACCCCGGCTGGGGGAGATGGGGCACCCGTCTCCGGGTCCCCCTTGCTGAGGACCCACTGTGAGCCGGCCCCTGCAGCCAGACAAGGTCCCCGCCTCCCGGGGCTGTCAGCCCAGGAGGGGCAGCTAAGCACACTGTGAACGCCATGCGGGCAGGGGCTTGGTCCTGTTCACTGTTGCAGCCCTGGCCCGGGAAGTGTGACTGAAACAGCAGGTGTTCAGTACCCACCCGCTGGCTGGAGGGCTGGGTGAGTGGGTGGCTGGATTTATGGATGGAAGGACTAACCACCTAGAAAATAAGGAAGCGCGTGGCAAGTGCTCCGACAGCAACAGGCACAAATGCCTCCAGGTGGGTGCGTCACCGCACAAATGCCTCCAGGTGGGTGCGTCACCGAGCTGACACCGCTTGCGATGGCCTTGCGGGAGGGGAAGCCAGTCTTGTATTCCGCACACTGCCTGCCAGCACGCTGGCGAGGATGCATTTGAATAAAAGGTTGTCAGAAGGGAACAGAATGTGAAAGCTAAAATGAGTCCTAGAGATTACGTGGCCCAACCCCATCATTTTGCAGAAAGGAAAGCTGGGGCACAGGAAGGTTAAGTGACTCACCCGAGGTCACACAGCACCTGAGTGGCAAGGCAGAGTCAAGCGAGGTCTGTCTGTTTCCAGTGCCTGAGCTCTTTAGCCACCACCCTGTTCTGCTCTCCTCGCTGAGACGCCGCGTGGAGTTCTGCTCCCATTCTTGTCTCTGCCTATCTCCACCACCCACCCCTGCAGGGCCCGGGAGAACTGGGGTCACTGGCCAGCCTTGGTTAGGCCTCCCCCCTCAAAGACCAGAGAAGCAAGAGGAGACCACACCGAGTGGGGAGAAGGAGGAGGATGCATCGGCCAGCCCTGGAGACCCAGGGGAATGTCTGCCACCAGGTTGAGACTGGGCAGTGCTGGAGGGGGGAGGCTGCAGGAGTGACCCCCACCTGCAGACCCCAATCCCAGAACTGAGCAGCTGCTTTAAGGTGAAGTTACTAGTTAACTTCATTATATGCAGCCAAAGCTGAGCATAAATGATCAATCCCAGTTTCTAAAGAAGCAATGGTGCCCTGCCATTTTTAACTGCTGGCAGGGAACACATAACACGGACATGTTCAAAAGCTCCGCCAACCCCACCTGGAGTTGGTTCCTTGAGCAAGACATGAGCATGACCCTGGGGCCTCCTGGACACTAGGCCTGAGGTTACCTGGGTCCACGGTGCCTGGCCTGGTGCTGGAGGCACAGTGCTTGCCCCCTGACTGCAGGAATGGTGCTATCTTGTCTGGTCCCTGCTCCAGGACCCCTCCCCAGCCTCTCCTTGCCAACTGGAATTGTTGCTCCTTTCCTTCAGAGAAGAAGCTTCCCCAAGATCTGCTGCACTTGCATGGAGGTTGGAACACCCACTCTCCTGGCTTCCAGAAGAGCTGGACACGGGTGGTGTCGGCACACCAGAGGGGTAAAGTACTGGTTGAATTAATGCTCAAGGAAATCCTTGAAGTCATCTGAATGGCAGTACTAATAATACAAGGAACATCTATGGAAATGCTCTTCTCTAACCCTCTGTTAGGTGGGCAGGCATGCAGCTGGGAGAGCCCTGGATTTAACTTCTGACTCTGTTACTTTGTGCTGTGCAGTCTTGAAGAAATCACTTTACTTCTCTGAGCCTCTGTTGTAAAATGGGGAGAATAATTGTACTTTCATCATGGAACTTGAGATGAGATTCAAAAAGAGCAGGCATTTTAGACCTTCGAAAGCTCCCCAGGCCACAATGACCGGGGTAGGGGAGAAGAGTGTACCCCACTCTCGGAGACCTGGTATACAGCCAGTGCTGAGAACGGCTGGGCTATAGGGAAAAGCCAGATTCCTCAGATCCAGGCCAGGTTTCTTTTCTTTCTACCAGGTGCCCGTTGGGGTACCAGGTAGAGAGGTTGGGGTACCAGGTAGGTCTATTTCCAGTCCTGGTCTTTTGGTGGCCTGGATGTAGAGGTGGCAGCAGCCTCGTGGGTGCACGTTGGGAGGCTCAGTGGTTAATCAGGCCGCTGGGCACGGTGCCTGGTCTCTGGAATATTCATAAGGCCCCTCCAGCTGTGCCAGGCAATCAGGGTGCTGATTGCTCCCCCATCTGCAGCTTAACATTCCACTCTAGGGAGCTGGCAGCTGAATGCTAACTAGGGAAAAACAGGCTCTGGCCTTCACAACAGCAGCCGGAACAACAGCCCCGGGGAAGACAAACCCACTCCTTCGAGATCTGCCAGCCAGTCAGCACTGATCTGCTCGCCAGCCTCAGGGGCAGTGGAAAGAATAGTGGATTTGGAAATAAGAGTGCTGGCCTGGGGTCCAGCTCTGCAAAACAGCGCATGCCTGTCTCTGCGGCCTCAGTCTCCCCAAGGATGGAGCTATCAGCCTGCTCAGAGGGGCGACCAGGACAGAGTTTGTTGGCCCGAGGGAGCGTGGCACGGAGGCAAAGCATCGCTGTGGTGGTTGTTTACAGTTGTGGACATGGACAATGGTTAGATGGCAAGCAAGCTGGCTTTGCAGGGAAACTGAGCAAAGAGAGAAAAGCTCCCTGGGAGGTTCTGAGCCTCCCTTGGAAGGCGAGGTCTCAGGGCAGAGATCCGGGGTCCTGGGGAAGTGCTATTATTCTGTGCTGGCCCAAACCTCTAGGAGAAGCAAGAAAAGAACGAGAAGGGACGCCAGACAGTAGAGGGGAAAAACTTTAGAGAAGTGCCACCACAGCAGAGGTTGCTCAGGACAATAATCCGTACACAGCTCATAACCAACGCTGACAGCAACGACTGGGAGTCACCAAGAAATGACCAAAACCTACTCTGTGTTTGTATTGAATAATATATAGGGGATATATATATATATATATATATGGGGGAGATTTCTATCACACTTGGGCGGGGAGAAGAGACTGGAGCTAAAATAATTTAACCTTCTCCTTCCTAGAAAATTGACCAACGTGGAGCAGCCCCTCTCTCTGGCCGGATAAATGAGGGGGCTCTGAATTTGGCCTGACTGTGATTGTCTGACAGCCCTGCCTCCCTCTGCCCCCACCCAGCACCAGCCAGGTGTCCCATGCCTGCAGGCTCAGCCCTCCCTCCCCTGCCCCCCGGCAGCAGGTGGCAGATGGACAGCCTTGGCCCCCGCAGCAGGGAAAGGCTGGCACTCTGTGGGGGCAGGTCCCTATTCCACAATAGCCCTCAGACACCAGGGTCCTGCCTCAAACTACATGAACCTCTCAGCTCACCCTCCCACCCAGTCAGGACCCGGCCCCCCATGCCCTTGCTCTGGGTACTTGAGTTTTGCTTGAACTTTCTACAGGGAGCTCACGTCATGTGTTACTCTGGGAGGAAGCAGCAACGTAGGTAACAGAGGGCTCATGCTCGCGGTCGATAAGGACATCCTCTGACCAGGAGGGCAGCAGGTGAGTGGCTGGGCGTCCAGGCGAGCACACCGCACGGAGCCCCTCTCTGGGCGGCAGGGCCTTGGAACCTCAGGGGCTCCCGCATCACGTCGGCAAATGGCTTCTATTGTTTTTTTCTAAAGTACCAAATGTTGAGAGTTCATTGCAAAAAAATTTAGAAAATATGGGTAAGGAGAAAAAGATAATTAAAGAGCACTGGTGATCCCATTAGCCAAAGAGAACCATTTGTGACACTGGGTGTACTTATATGTTTTCAGTCTCTTTGAGATAGGCAGATGGACAGATATTTTTACGTGGGATTAATCATATTTCCATGTGATTAATCATATCATATTTTTTTCACTTAATAGCATATCATAAATAGTTTTCCCTCATTAAATAGTCCTCCGCATCAGCGGTTTTCAAAGTGTTGTCTGGGAACTCCTGGAGATCCCCAACCTTTCTAGGGAGTCCATCAGGTCTAAACTATTTTCATAATAATATTGAGACAGTATTTGCCATTTCATTCTCATTCTCTAATGAGTGTACAGTGGAGTTTGCCCGAGGCTGCACGATGTGTGGCATGCCAATCCAGCCAGACTGATGTTAAAGAGATTTGCAAAAGTGTAAAATAATGCCATTCTTCTTGGTAATATTTTTGTTTTCTAAAATGTAATTATTTTTCATAAAAATATGTTTTTCAGGAGAACACGAAATAGTTTTATTGAGTTAGTAAATATATACCTTTAAAATTCCTTCATTTTTATTTTGAATATGATTTATAGCTATAACCCACAGAAACAAAAGTTTTTTGGGATCCTCAGTGATTTCTAAGAGTGTACAGTGATCCTAAGACTGAAAGTTTGAGAGCAACTGCTCGACGCCATCCATCCGTTTTAATGACTGTATGGTGTCCCCTAACTTGTTTACCATTTCCTTACTGATGGACCTACAGGTTGTTTCTTTGCACTATTTCAGAAATGCTGCACACATCGTGTACTCATGTCACATGAAAACTCCTTGAAGTGAGAAAACAAGAGCAATCAACTGGTCATGTGAGTCATCACTAGCAGTCCGTGATTAGTCAGGTTAAACAAAAGGTATGCAGAGTGTGAACAAATACCGTTGGAGAAAGTGCATATCAAATACAAGCACACGCATACCACACGCACCTGTATAGAGAGAGACTCATACTCGGCAAAGAGTACTTTTTTTCCCGGCCGTCCAGGAAGTGTTTACAAAATCGGATCATAATCTAGACCAGTGTGACCGACAGTAACTCTCTGTTGCTGTTACAGAAATTGAGAGGAAGAGTTTAGGAACTTTTAAGCAATTTGACAGAGAAATTTTATTTCTGTTGAAAATAATAAAAATTGAGGTTTGTACAAAAAGTCAAGAGCTACAAAATGCTGCAAACATTTTTTGGTATACACTTGAGCATGCTTCTGTAGGATGGAGGCCTAAAGTGGAACTGCCGGGCCTGCAGACCCCGGGGCCAGATGGCCAGAGCCGTCATGGAGAGGCCTTGCTCACACCTCACCAGGAGTGCCGCTGAGCGACCAACCTCTCCCGCCTCCCGCAACGCTCGAGATTATTGCTCGTTTAAATCTTTTCCAACCAGTAGGTGAAAAGATACATTTTGCCTTCCGTGAATTGCTTATTTAAATCTTCTGTCCATTTTTCTTTTGGCTTCTTTTTCTTATTGATTTTTCTGGAACTCTTTATATATTCCGGGCACAAATCTTTTGTCTTTTATATATTGCAAATATTGTACTCAAGTATGTGGCTTGCCTTTTCATTTTGTTTAGGTGTCTCGTTGCCATACAGAAACTTTATCTTTTTTAAAAAAGGTATTGTAGTCTATTAATCACTTTCTCAATGGTTTTAAGGATTCTTACCTTGCTTAGGAAGCCTTTCCTCATTGCATGATTTTAAAAATGCACTCCATTTTCCTCTAAGACACTGTAGCTTTTCTTTTCTTTTTTTAATGCTTAGAACTTTAATCCATCTAGAATTAATTTCTGCTATCGTGTGAGGCATTGAGTGTTGAGCCTTGCAAGCCATAAAGTGGAGTAGGGCAGGGTGCTGGCAACAGGCTTGAGTCTCAACAAGGACCAGCCCACTTGTTCCTGGGACCTGCAGGCCTGCTGCGGACTGGACCAGTGGAGCAGAGCGACAGAGACCTGAGGCCATCTGGCTCGGGAGGGGAGCAAGCTACACTCGAGGATCCTTCTGAATGTGTTAGAACATCTATGGGCCTTGCCAGGTCGACCAGCAGCGCTGACAACTTGCCCAAGAAAGTAATCAAACATCTTTAACATGTCGTGTGGTTCCCAAGGAGTTCATGTCTGTCATCCACCTCATGCCAACAAGGGAGATATAGGCAGAGGAGGATGTACGACCCTGGTTTTGCCATCACGGGAAAATAAGGGGCAGAGAGGTGAAGCAACATGCTCGAGGTCACAGGCTGGCAGAGGGCAGAGTCCTCACCTCCTGCCACCAAGCGCATGCTCCTTGGACCTGTCTGCATGTCCAGCTCTGTCCTTAGAGCTGCTCCCTTTGGGGGAAAGGAGGGTCTGGCCTGAGCCTTTTCCAAATATGTGCTCCCCCACTTCGGGTAGGAGAGACTGGAAAAATCCATCCTCCGCCACCAGCTGACAGTGAGTTTTGAGAAGCAAGGCTCCCTTCCACAAGCACCTCCTCCTCCCCCGAGTGGTTTGCCGAGGCTGGGAGTGGGGATGAGTCAGGCCAGGAAGGGGGAACTCAGCCATAAACAAGTGGGACTGACAGCGAGCACTCTCTCTGAGGCGCGTGACCTCCCACGGCCCCTGGGACGCCGCCTGAATGGCTACAGCTTAAAAATTTCATGGTCTAGGCTTTGCAGATTTAATCTGCTATATTCATGAAAGCAGCCTCAGAAAGGGGGAAATCTTTAGATAGGAGGTGGGGGATGAGAAGGAAGGTAAGTTATTTCCAGTCTCTCGGTGGAGAGCAGTTTTTTTAACGAGTGTACCATTTTTTGTGGATGCTCAATGGGCCTTCCTCCCTTCCTCCTCCAAACCAAAGGGAGGTCCAGGAGGCAGAACTGTGGGGCTAGACCTGGTCTTGGAGACCAGGCTGTTCCAGTCCCTCAGGTAACGGAACCCACGTGCATGCGTTTAGGCACGTCTGGAAAGAGATCCCAGGTCTCCTGGATCCCAGGCCTGTGCTTGTTCTGTTGACTCCCAGGAAAACCCCAGGGAAGTGCAGCCGCTAGGTGTTTCATGGGGAAGGCAAAGGTGGCCAGGGAGAAGCCAGGAGAAGCAGCAGACAGGCCCAGCAGCGACCTGGGAGGTCTCCTCTCTGCCCTGGAGCTGCAGCTGGGGAGGGAGGTGCAGGGCCGCCTACCTGCTCCAGGGGGATGACCAGGAAGGAGCCACCCCCTGCGCTCTCGGTGACGATGGCCAGGAAGCGGGCGTTGACAGCGCAGAAGTGGTTGTCGTGCACATTCTTGGTGATGGGGATCCCGTCGAAGCAGTGCTCCCGGTTGGCCACCTTCCCGTAGACGTTCCGGAACTTGGAGCTTCGGTACTGCGGACGCCAGGACATCTGCGAGAGGCCAGGACAGACGAGGGTCAGGCTGGGCACTGCGGGAGGGAAGGTGCCTTGGGGACGCAGGTCCTGGCGCCAGCCCGCAGGAAGCGTGGGAGGGGAAGGAGCCTCCAAGAAGTGAGGGCCCACTGCGTGCCCACCCCATGCTAGATAAAGCCCCGCAAGAGCAAAGACCGGGGTGGGCTTCCACACACGCAAACCCGCCTTCCAAAAGGCTTGTTCCCCATGAGGGAACGTGCCATGTGACAGATAAAACAAACCCACAACAGAGACGGACGGACTGCCTCCTGAGGGTCTGCAGTTATGCTCCGCTCTGCACGGCGGTGGCTGGGTGTTCACAGAGATCGAGAACCACAGTGGCAGCGGGAACGAGCACACGTCCTTCTGTGTACAAGGCAACCCGTCACCCGCTGCCATCCCCTCCTCTGATCTCCAGAGTTCCTAATCCACAGGCGCACCCTCAGAAATCCCTGAGCCTATATATCATCACCATAGCTTCTCTATCGTCATCATCAATTGGCACAGAGAGGTTAAGCGACTTGTCTAAGGCCACACAGCTGAGCAGGGCCATGAACACAGGTCTTCTGACTGGGAATCTGAGACTCTTTCCTATGCCAGACTACCCTTTGGAGCAAAGTTTATCAGCATGGGGCCCACAGATCACCTGTATCAAAGTCACCTGGGGTGGGGGAGGTCTCTGAGCCTCCTATGTCATTTATTAGAAATGCTGAGCCCAGTCCAAACCTACTGAATCCAACATTTTGGGGATGGGGCCCAGAAATGAGCATTTTGATCCATCTCCTTGCCTGCCCCTGGGTAAGACAGGGCAGCACACTGAGGGTTGCGAGCCCCTGTTCTCCCCCTCCCTTCCTGCTACCGACAACGCAGGCTCCAACCGGCCAACGAGATGCTTCACTGGCACCTACAGCACGGCACGGCACGGCATGGCACGGCACGGCACGGCACGGCACGGCACGGCACGCCGGCCCAGAGCCGGGTGCAGCGGGACGCAGACGCGCTCGGCGGGTGCGTGGGGCCGATGGCAGCCCTCAGCAGAGCCAGCTCTGTGAGGGACGGTGTCTCCTGCAGGGAACCCGCAAACGGGCGCCACTGCCATGACCCCAGGGGCCTGCGCTCCCGGCAGACACACATCCAAGCACCGTGGGCCACACGCAAGTGCCCAGCCTGGGACACGGCATACAGTAAATAAATGCTCAATAAATGCTTTTTGAATGAATATGCTTCTGGCCCAGCAGGCTTTGCCCTTATCCCTTCCTGCCAAATCTCCTGATGTGCCCCAAGTCTCCCACCGATAAAGGGACGAGCTAATTTCTTCGCTGAAATCTCCCCGGGGAGAAAAAAGAAGAGGAAACACCGCCGCAGGCTCAGGAAACCAACGCTGGGAATATGTCTGAACACAAAACTTTGCATTTGATTTAAATCAAGCCAGGAGCTAAGCCACAAAGGCCTCTTTATAGGAGGGAGAAGTCCAGAATCCAGCAAGGAGGATCCCAAGGAAAACTCCTCCAGCTCTCTGGGCCCCAACGCCGGCCTCCTCTCCTCTGCCCGGCCTCCTCTCCTCTGCCCGGCCTCCTGTCCTCTGCCCGGCCTCCTCTCCTCTGCCCGGCCTCCTGTCCTCTGCCCGGCCTCCTCCCCCCAAGGCCCTCCACCCATATCCCCCCCGCCCACTCCCCCCTACCTCCCTGCCTGCCGCCCCTCCTGCTGAGCTCTGCCCAGGACTGTGGGGCGCAGTCAAGCTGGACAGGCAGGGGCACCGGCCGGAGCCTGGCGGGCCGCTGCTGACACGTGACCTCAGCAGAGCCCCTTCTCTCTCCGGGCGGCGTCCTGCTCATCGTGATGTCATCAGCAAGTCCCAGAGCGGGGTCCCGGGTAATCACTCAAAGTTCCTCTACATGGGACAGAGGTGAAGCTTTTAATTTTAAGAGTCACATGTTTATTTTAATGTGCATTAGAAAAAATATGATTTGCAGGCCAAGTCCATATTTCACGGATACTATTGATAATGAGGCTAACTTAAAAAAAGTGAATCAATTCAAAGAAAAATACAGTATGAAACAACATAGTATGGGTGCTTTGTGGACCTGGCAAAAGTATAATCTAAGGTGGGAATGCTGGAAATTGCCGTCCCTTCCAGGCAGAACATTCTAGATTCCATGGTTTCCACGGAAGAGAAAGGAGGTGTTGAGTTTGCCCCTTCCACCCTCCTGGTCCTTGCTGGTGCAGGTCTAGCCTGGGATGTCCTCTCTCTTCTCTGCCCGCTGAACCTCAGCCGTCAGGGTCTGCCCCACCTCTGACCTCTCCTTCCGCCCTAGACCCTGTCCCAGGCTCTCCTTTGTGGGGGCTGGTCTCCACCCTGATGGCAGGAAGTGACACCAGACCTCCCCAGCAGGACTGAAGACTCGTCTGTGCTTTTCCTGGGCAGCCCGGATGGGTCCTGGAGGCTTGGGCAGACCGGCTGGGTACCTGGCCCGGTGGCAGGCCCAGCCCTGCTTGAAGGCAGCAGCCTAGTGGGGGGGACGGATGGGTGCAGCTCAGCCTCCCCTAGAACCCAAGGCTCAGGGAGCCACTTCACTGCCCACATCTGTGGGCAGGGATCACGGGTTGTGGCTGGGCACCGGGGCTGGTCTGTTTCCAGACTGAGTGGCCCGGCCCTGTGCTCTTCCCAGTGCTCACTTCGCTGAAGGGGTCGCCTGGGGGCATCTGAGGAGAAGGGCACCAGGATCCAGACTGGGAGCCACACAGCAGACCTAGATGCAAGTCCTGCCCCTGCTGCAGCTTAGCTGTGTGACTTGGGCCAGCCACCTAACCTGTCTGTGCCACCTCCATCTGCTCCCATATGCAGGCGACTGATAATCCCCACCATCTCCA